TAAGGCTGTCAAACACAACTCTTTGGTCGTCGGTATGGATAGGTTCGCGAGAGAATGAGCCTGAGTATGCAAATACACTCGATTGACGACCGCCTTTCCGGATTGTAGATGACGCCAAGAAAAACAGCTTAAAGGAATCTTGCGCGGAAAATTCTTGCACTCTTTCCTAACATGAATATGTCAGTTGTGATCACTGGAAATAGCACACAAAGTTATGGACCATCGAAGGACCAGGAGGCAGAGCCAGGCGAGGCATGGAAAGAAGACGGCGTTTGGCCGGCTACGTACCAGGCGACGCAATGAGAGAATCGGGTTAAAGCGCGCGATTTCGGAGAGTGGAGACAAATCGATCGATGGAATAGGATGGAGTAGAAGTGTAAGATGTGAATGCAACGAAGCAGAAGGCCAGAAAGAGCTTCTAGTGAATGCACTCCAAGAACCAAGTTTGAGCATCCCCGTCGCCAGCATTCGTGAAAGACGTCCGTGGGCAATTCGAACGCGTAGCAGCCTTTTCGAGTTTTCGAATTTCTAATCAAAACGAAAGCAATACTTCAGTTCTTTTCACTATTATCGTGGATAATGAGTCTCAAGCCAGTGATTTATGGCTGAAATAGAATCATGATTTTTCCGCGCAAGATTCCTTTAAGGTCATGCCAGTCACACCGTGCTACCTGATCATCTTGCGAAAAAACATATAAAGAAGCAAATTTTGTATTCTGAAGAATGAGTACCTCGACGAATCGAACAAATCGAAAACTTCCTGTTATATAAATATCTGGATTTTTCTCAGGCTACTTGTTATGTATGGTTGCCACAGATAGATATCAATAATTTCACGGCGATTTTAGGTTTTAGGTTCGCTACTAATTATACTCTAGCAATTTTGAGAATTTCTTTCTCCATTTTCACAGCGATATTTTCAATGACAGTAGGTGTAGGTGTTCGAATTTTTTTTGTCGTGGTAAGTGAATGTTCATGCCGTTAGGGTTGATCAGCTCGTCTGACAATGAGATGCACTCGACTTCTGTGTTCAGAACCGTAGAAACATGCGAGAAGGGCCCTAGTTCTAAAATGAGCGCATCAATCGCTATTGAGGCAGCGATCCTAATCTTCCAGACGAGCTTTCCAACAGCAAAGCGGCTCTGGAGTGTGGGAGGGCTTTGCTGACATGGGAGAATCTTGCTGATGAAGTTTCACGGTCTCTTCAGCAATTTTACAACCTTGCTAGAAGCAATTCATCTGAAAGCCTGGCTCACCAAGGAGTTTGTTTTTGAGAATTAGTTATTTCCTTGTGAAAGATGGTCGTCTTTCGGAGCATTCTATCTTCTAATAGCGAAGAATCGACAATGTTCTTGATCCGTTGTGAATATCTTTGTGGTTTTTCTGCCCATGGTTACTTTCTGTCATTTTCGAGTTGTGACGCTTCGTTCAACCACAGCTGATTGGAGCTCTTACTAGCTCTCGTTAGTAAAAAATTCTGGAAACACTTGAGGCTCGTGAGAGTATCCACTCTATCCCGGAGAAGTGGAGGGTCTACATCGAACAACATCAGGACAAAAATCCTATCTCAATAAATAGATCTCACAGAAATTCCAAACATCGTACCTATTTTGCACTAACCATCCGTACTAGAATTAGCTCAGAAAACAAGTGGAAATGTTTTGTATGACATAAACGTTCCCAAAAAATCATGGAATTCAATTTGCCTATCTACATGCAAGGTGTACAGGGGATGGCAATGGAAAAAGATATTCTATCTTTACAATTAGTGAAGGATCCCACGATAAGAATGAAGGTCAAAGAAGGGAAAATTGCCTAGTTGGGCGACAGAAGGACCTCTTTAGGGTGTGGACCGACGTTCAAATGGCAACAAAAGCTCGGTGATCCAGCCTTGCTCATTCTTGGCACAGTTGTGGTACCTCACGCCCGCCGACATAGCGAGAAAGCGTTGTCGTTGAAGAGGGCACGATGAGAGTCGCATCAATGCGGAAATCAACGGGCAAGGAAGGGGTCCCATTTCTCGGGTTCTGGGCCGTTTCTCATGGTTTTTCCTTCTTTCTTGTGTCACTCACCATCCTTACTTAATTTGGAATGGGTTGCCTTCTCATCGCAAATTCGGCCTTCGGATGAATTTTTTTCAAATCTGTGCTGAAAACGAATGCTTCTCTTAAGTTGTTACTGAACAGTACATTTCCTTTCATAAAAATTTCGAAAATTTCATAATGACATTTCAAGACGACCACCTCAAAAGAGTCTGCCACGAAGACTTGGTGCTCAAGTCGGGCTCCTGTGTGGTTCTTGGGGGTCATTACTACACTACCCGGAAATGCCGGTCGATCAAGAGTGGTTTTGCATATTCAGGGCTCCATTCTCTCGCGAACTATCCACTAACGACGATCCAAGAAGTTGTGTGTTGCAGCCTTAGGCCGAAATAAGTGCAGTAGGTCTCCTTGAAGTGGCCGCTATAGCAGATCGCGTCATATTCTGGAACCGGTGAGGACAATGAAAGAAGGCTTGTGTCTATCAAGACATGGAGGGGCATTTTAGAAAAAAATCTGATACAGGACTCTTGCTCGTTAGCAGGCTGTGCGCCAAAAAATCGCTGACGTGCGGCATGAGCAAAATGTCTTTCTTTTCTTCCCTTTCTCTGTATCATCATCAAGTAACTTTGTGACTGAATTAAAATTAGCCGTTCGGACTAAGTTGATGCGCATCGAATTTTTTGCAATTTTCTGCTCCAAGCAGTTTACTTTTGCATATAGTGCGGCTGTTTTTGTTGCTAGTTTTTCAACACATTTTTATGGTTTTTTTTTGTATATTAAGCGTTTGGCAACGATATTTCTTTGTTGCTTCTTAACTCAGCATAAAAGTGAAATATTGGAGACCTAATAATTATATCGTCAGTTGGATGGCCTGCAAAGCTTGTTTTTTCTACTTCCTCATACTGATTTCTGAAAAATAACTTTGAATTCTGGGATCACTTGTTTATCCATTTGTTGCGCTTTGTCTTTGTAGTGTGTTAATTCATATTAATTAGCTATATTGTAGCATGTTTTTTTCATTCTAGCAATGGCCAGCAGGATGCTTACGACTCTAATGTTTTGCAGCTCGTAACTTGCATACAATTATTGGCTAGTTTGTTTGTTAGAAATTTTTCAATTTTTTCTTGAGGCTATGAGCCTTAATAACTACGCCGTAGTTATATCGAATTGTTTTTATGAGTGGCAACAGGCAGAGTAATTAACGAAACTAATGTTGCCCTGAGGCTGTGCAGCGCCAGCTTGAAGGAATTGTTTGTAAATAGATAGATCGAAGTGTTGCAAGCATCACTCCCAGGGGTATTTTACGGGTCTCACGCCATTATCCATGCCTCTGATGATTGTCAAGCTATCTATTATTCATTTACCTAGGAGGCAAATCGCAAGGTGCGAAGACTTGTATGACTCGGACAGAACACTTTTAGCGAGACTTTCAATCAGATTAATGTGGCTTCTTAGAGCCCATAACAATCTTAGTAACGGATATCAAACAATTTACTGGCCTCTAGTAGTTACCGCAAAAGCAATTAAGACTCTCTGGCATCTCGTTCTTTTGCCAATTCCACCACACGCGTCTCAGCCTTCTTCGTCGTCGTTATCTTGATCGAATATCTTCACACTTCATTCTATTCACTACGTCGACCAAGAGCCGAACGAAACCTTCCTTTTTGCGCTAAACCTTTCATGCTTATGCTGTTTATCCATTATTCTTTAATTCTGAAGGTTTGCTTATGTCACTCAATATGCTGGCAGTTCTTCGACCTCTGAGACTTGCTTGGAAAATCCTGTTAACGATCAGTTAAGGTACATAAGGATCTTCACGTTTTTTCTTGAATAAAATATTAGCTTTATCAGTTTCGGAATAATTTTCTAGTGCAGCTGGTGGCCTGAACCCCATATGTTCTAAGTTTTGTATAGTTGCTTGAAAATTCGAAGAAAAAAAAGAAAATTTTTGACTTGTGAATATTAGCCTGAAATTGTTCATAACAATTAGAAGAAGACTCAATTTAGATTTAGGAGGCAATTTTAATATTTTCTGTAAATTTCAGTGAACAATACAAGAGTCTGCCATTCACTGATTATGAGCCGTAAGACGAACATCAAATTTCATATGGGCTTAACCAATGCAGATGAGGAAAAGTAAATGAAAAATATGTGTGTATTGAAAATTGTCGTGTTTTGTGCAATTGGTAAATGACAGCAAAGGGAGGAAGTAAAAATATCCTAATGCAATGATTCCTAGAACTTCTCAAATAGGGCATGCCGAGGATTTTCCCAGTAAATGTCCTGATGTGATTTCGTTGGTGCATTTCAAATGCATCTAGTCTCTAATGTCCTACAAGAATTCAATTTATTCCTCACTGATATGAAGACTCAGTGAAAATCTCCGAGAATGTTCTCCATGTTCAGCGCCATTGATTTCGCTCCCTACGCTTGGTGAACATTGATTTGAAATGGTTTTCTCCTGATTTCGGTCTTCACTATCCTTCTGTCTATTTTACACTGGACCGATGTGTGTATCAGGTATATATAAAAAATTTCAGAGTCAAGCCTGTAATTGTTGCTTTGTGTGTCTTATCCCCCCCCCCCCTGTTCATGGACAGATTTTCTGTTGCTGCTCACTATGTTGAAATCTCCTAGCGTGGAGATAATGATGCTTCCAATAACAAATTCAGCCTGCCACGCTTGGCATAATTTCGATGGCGTAACAATTCCTGATTTACTGAATCCTGCTACACCCAAATTCATGACATGACCCACAATGGGGCAGAATACCTGAACAGGACACGATTTTCAGGCGGCTTTTGAGTGGTTTCTTGAGCAAAATAAACAAGGCAATCCCTGCAAATTGATGAGAAGTTATAATGATCGAATTCTGCTCAGGTCTCCTACGCCTGGTCTGTTAGGTGACACCGAACTCATATGAGAGGACCACAAAGCGCCATATGTATTCATTGGTCCATGAAGACCATTACTGAAGATTCAAGTCAGCTACATGACGAAGAAGACAACTGGTGTTCAGACGAGAGCTCAGACGGCGAAGGAGTGGTAGAGTTGGGAGATAAGAGAGGAATGGCACTAACGCAGGTGCCAATCAAGTTCATTCTAGGGTGGACTGGAATCAACAAAGGGCTCCTATGCCGTCCCCACAAACCAGCAGGTCGCGAAATCGGCACATTCCTTGAAACCACATTACACTCTTCGCTATTCTCCTGTTATTCTATTCCTACTCGAATACGCCCCTGAATTCATGTCACCGAGCCAACAAGGCCCTGAACAATATCTATGTCAGAGTGAGAGCAATTTTTTCCTCTCTGCAAATTTGTATTTTGAAATGAGATTTTGTGAAATATAATTTTTTAGTGAAAAAAGTATGAAAAAGAAAAAGTGGAAAGAATTTTTGAAGTGTCATTAGGACAACATTCTATATACTGCCATGCGAGGTGCATTTGCATAGAATTCTCTTTATGTTGTCTATGTTCCTTTGGCTGCTCCTTGTTCTCACCACGAAGGCCTTTCAGGACATAAAGCACCTTTAAGAACGGTTTTTGGCATGTTATAGAAGCATACGCAGTGAACATAAAACATACATAGAATAATCTTTTTCTGAGCGGCTCTGGAAATGCTAAAAAATGTGGAAACCAGGGCTTATGGTTCGATCTCACTGAAGACAAATTTTTGCATTTCTCTGATTTCCACTTTCTTGGGCTCATATATGTCTGAAGTTATTCAGTGAACAAAAGCTTTTGGAATGCAACTATTCAACTTACAAATGCTGTAGAGATTAGAAATGGGAAAACTTCACTTCTCAAGGAAAATTTTTTGCCCTTTTTCTGGCAATTTTTGTTCCGCTCAGAAAAAATGGTCATCAGTTTTATGCTCCACGCAGGTGTCCCTGTAACATGCAACAACCCTTTTCGAAAAGCGCTCCATATCCTGAGAGACTTTCCTGGTCAAACCTCTCTAGTTGCATGGTAAGCTGCTAAAAGCAAATATAGCTCAACGTTATAGGGTAACGTGCACGATCATAGTCGTGGCAGATAGGCAGATATGTTCAGTAGGAGGGGAAAACTTTCTTTGCAAGTTGTATTGTACTTGCGCTTGAAACAGACCAGGAAGGTTCTATCCATTTTCCGCAGCGCGTTCAAGGTTCAACTTGGCCTCAAGTTATGACCCCAGCCTCCTGATTTATTGCTTTGCTTCTTTACTCCAGATCTTGCGGCAGGGAGACAAATCACGGAAACCCATCTATCACCCGAAATTAAATACCTGACTAAGGGTTATCATTGCATAGTAGGGGTTTTAGGGAACTCAACCCTTCACCACAGAAAATCACCTTGTATTCGATCACAAACCAAATTAACGCGCCAACAGCTATGAAATATGACTGGTTTGTTTGATCGTTGACTGCTGTTTTTGGCCGTAGTTTACATGGAAAAATTGTCATAGGAGCGCTAGGTCATGGACGAAACTCTTCGCCTACGGAGGTAATTGCCACTGGTCTTTTTAAGTCTACGATTAGATCGAAAGTCGAGAAAGGGGAAAGTCACCTAATAAAAGGAGAGGCGGGCCTCCTAGCCTCCTTCCTCGCGGCGCTATCGGCGCGGCACGCCCACCGACTGGCTAACCACTCGCCGCAGGTCTCTAGCCGTTTAGCAGAGAGAGCGTTAGCGTTGAAGAGGGCAGCACCGATGAGAGTCGCATCAATGCGGAAATCAACGGGCAAGGAAGGACTCTCATTTCAGGTTTTGGGCTATTTTCATGGTTTCATCTCAGCACCACTGCCCACCCTCTACCTTAAAGGCAAACCGCAGCATTAGCCCGATTAGTAGGAGGGATACCACGAGGGAAATTGTAAGGTCCGTACCGTTCCATCTTGGTCGCAAAAGCTGCGTGGCTAGGACGCTAATCCTAACGGCCTGCAACCGACCACAGTTCCAACGCTTTCCACCCACTGCGAGAGCTATCGAGATCAGCGTGTATTGATGAGAGATCAGCGTTCTCTCTCAAGCGACGTGCTATTTCGCGCATTTTGTCTTCTTTGACCGCCCTTTCTCGCCATCGTCCACCATCATCCGACCATATTGAAGGTTAAGGCCTTAAAGGAATCTTCCGCGGAAAAAGCTCCGCCTCCATTACCACAGAAAAACGATACCTTAGGCCCCTAGCCTCATGAGCATAGCAAAAAGAACGGAACATAAGCGTTAGTTTCGATAATACTAATCCTACACACAAGACAAAATGATCACTCTTTCCGTGGAAGATTCCTTTAAGGTATCGTTTTCTGTGGTAATGAGGGCGGAGCTTTTTCCGTGGAAGATTCCTTTAATTTTAGCGTTTCCGAAACTTCTACTGTATTTCTTCCCATTCAGGTCGTTTGCAGCTAAGCTGTCCCTACAAAACACTGATAGCATCAGTTTAACCGGAGTTTGCCTTCAATACTATACGCTGCCTTCTAATAGCAACTCTGTCACTGTACATCAGCTGACGCAATGGTGCCTTTCCTGTCGTGGTATCGGCTAGTACATATGCGCCGGGATGAGGGCCGATTCTCCGCAGGAGCGCGAAAAATTTTTATCATCCCAGCATTCTTGTAATACCAACGCTTCTTTTTCATAATTTCAATACAGTTCTTTAATAAATGACATGAACTGCATTTGAATATAAAGGGTCGTTTTAAAGAGAAGAAACTCGTGGTTTGTTGTGTGCTTGCCCCAATTGACGCATTCTATTTTTGTCGATTTGCCATCGTTACTGAATCTTTCCCCAAGGAGTTCCTGTGCTTCCTCGTTATAAAGGAAAACAAGAAACATGGTATTGTAGACATGTGTACAACATTACTAGTTTACACATGGTCGACATACTAGTTCTGGAGGAGGTTTATTTGTGGAAATAACCGATGATTTCACAAAAAAGAGGAAGGCGTGCGGGAAGTGAGCGCAATAGTGTCAATTTTGATGAAGCTTGCATTGTGTTTGCACAATTTTGCCTCGAGCTGGCGCTAAATACCCTGAAAAGGCTTTGTTATGGCTTTAAGATCATTTCAGCCACTGCTGCAATTGTTGTTATAAAAGTGTCCGGCCTCTAACTATTTCCAGGTGGCGCATACACAGATGAGCCCATTTTTACTTATTTAGAAGGATTGTGGTAGCTAGGCATGCTGGGATCATCTAGGATTCATAGCTACCACTCAATAAAGAGCAACCAAGAATAATTACCAATACCAATAGTGATAATAGGAGTTATAGTTTTGATTTCGTTGAAAGAGGTTGTTTAGTTCCTAGCAACTACGTTTCAATAATATCTGTGCAAAGAATTTAGATGCAAAGTGGTTTTCAAATATTACGAATTTATATCCTGTAATGTCCTTGTTTTAAATTTATATTTTAATTCATAGCAGAGATCCTTGCATGTACCCCTGATTTTCATCTTGTCTGGAATAATTTTGATAAGATTTTTTCCTTGTCCATGTTGAGAGCTGTCATTCTTGAGAGATGGGCCACTTTTTTAAAAATGCTATAGTATTCTTAAAATGGTGGTGACTGCTGTAAAAATTTCGCGAGCTCTACAAAGAACATTTTTCATTTGTTTTCGCATCTATAGGGTAACTATCATTTTAATGCAGAACATGTATTTTCTGAAGTAATGCTTGAGTGTACATGAGTTGAGCATTACTTAATATGATTTCTATTATGCAGAGAATTTAAGCATCCATCCTCAGTAGATCTGCTAAGGGGAACCCATTAGCCCATTATTTTGCAAGGACGACGTCAAGCTTTGGCAAAACCTCAAATTTTGAGTTAAGTTGATGTGTAGGCTGAAGACCGTAAACGAACTGAAATGAACATCAGATGGAATAAAGTTCAAAAATGAAAGATCGACGACCGCAACGCTACAGAGCGGTGATTTTTCAAGCGTTCATTTCGATTTTTTGAGGCACACTTTCATCAAAAAAAATTACCTTAAATGGTTCGTATTTTTGTTCTCCGAGAAAGGTCACGTTTCAGAAATTCATGCACAAGTAGTTGCTGTTGAGCTAGAGACCGCACTGTTGAGTGAAAAGGTCACCTAAGAAAATATTTTCTCTTCTTCTTCTTCTTCTCCCTAGCGTTAGTCCCGCGCAGTCGCAGGGTCCGCTGTCTTTGTCAGTCGTCGCCACTTTAGTCTGTCCAGGGCGTCCTCTGCTGTGGCCATGACTTCACTTAGATCCTTCTTGATCACGTCTCTCCACCTCTTCTTTGGGGCTCCTCGCGGTCGCTTGCCTTGCACTTCGAAGTCCATCGCTGTTCTTATCGGATGATCCTGTGGCCTCCTTAGCACATGCCCATATCGTAGACGCTGTTCCCGTACCTTCAGCTGGACAGGGGCAGTCTGCATGACCGCTCTGAACATCTTCGTTTCTAACCCTGTCCAGCCGCGTCCAGCCGCAGGCCCACCTCAGCATCCTCATCTCAGCAGAGTGAAGCTGCCTTTCACTCACCAGCAAATGATAACTGGATGAATTCGTGTCTTCTGGCGCAGAGTACTCCAGTCCTGATTACGGTCATGCATGGAGAGCGAGAAGGCAAATCTCACTCCGTGACATTGTAGAATCAAAACTAGCGATAAACTGACACCGTTGAAATGTGAATGTAGAGCTGCCAAGTGGTACGTTCATGAAAACTTGGTTAAAAATCCGAGAAGGGGCACCCTCGTTCCCCTGTTGATTTCAAATTTGGACGAGTTAACCACGGCCGTGGGCGCTTCGGTGGCAGTTGCGAAAAATTATCTGTTGAAATTATTACTTTAATGTTTCACAAGAATGCTGGGTTGTGAACAAAACTTTCGCCCCAGGCGGGACTAGAACCCGCACCTCTCGCTTTCCGGGCAAGTGCGCTACCAGTTACGCTACCGGGGCACCATTTCATTCCAACTCAGCTTTTCATGGTATACGTACCATAGCTTTCAGCAGCATAGCTCTGCCGAGTCTCTTACAGTGGGCTTTCATTCGAAACAACCTCCGTAACACTTTTCAGAGAATCGTTTCGCAAATTTGGAGAGTGGATTCGAGATCAGCGTCCGAAAACACATCTCTGAGTATAGGTTTC